AGAGGACTTTGGAGTTTTTTTCGGAATCCATTTTTGTCTGGTTCTTAGTATACGGGCGTTACAGGTGTGTCATAGCATAGTGGTAGCGCTCTGCATTTTCGTATAGCAGGCAAGGGTTCGAATCTCATTTTGAAACCATTCACATTTTGTTTCTGAATTTTTTATTCATGTCTAGCTTCAGGTTCTTGTAGGCTTATGGTGTATCCTGAGGAATGTCAGTTTGCTGTCCTGACTATTTCATAAATTGGAGAAAAGGGAAGTTTGAAGGGGGAATCAGCATTTTTTAATGAATCCATTTTCATTTAATTTATGGCGAATAGTAATTTTAGGTGCATCATGACGTAGCGGTTGTGTTCTACGCGTCTGCATGGCAGGCCAGGGTTCAGGTCGCGTTCTCGAAATTTTTTACGTTAGTGTTTCCGGATATTATTTCAGGCTCACTTTTGGTTTTTTTCTTTTTTCAGTCCTGAGAAATATTAGTCTGATTTCCTCACTGTTTCGAAATTCATAAAAATGAAAGGTGGAAGAAGCCTCGGCATTTTCTCAGAATCCATTTTTGTCTATTTCTTATTAAACGTATATTACAGACGAGTCGTAGTATAGTGGTAGCGCTCTGCATTCTCGTGTGACAGTCAAGGGTTCGAATCCTGTTTTGAAACCACTCGCATTTTGTTCCCGAATTTTCTTCCGTGAAATAGGGTTTTTGTAGGTTTGCTGAAGCTGTGGGTTACCATCAAGGATTTCGAATAGGGTGCCCTACAGTTCCGTTGCATAGCTCCCTATAACACCTCGAGAGGTAGAAATGTCATGTTCTAATAATGCTAGCATTTCTTCATGCTATTATCCAAATTCAGAACAGTGGAAATCGGTTTATGGAGACGATGGAATGTCGCTCGATTTCAATGGAAGAAAGGACCCATATCGAAGGGAGTAAAAGAAGAAGTGGAAGATGAATAGCTGGAAGAAATCACGTGGAGGACGGCTATATCAGTGAAATTGTGATCTTTTTGTTCGTTTGTTTTGATATCTGATTATTGTAAATTTATGCTTTTGAAATTTGATTGTACTATTGTTGCATTTTCTCATCTTTTCTTCTAATCGGACAAAACTTCCATCCCTTAAACGAAAATTTTCATTTTGGAGTTGGTAAGAAGGGTAGTCTATATACGTGGTTTTCCAAGTATCATCGTTCGTTGCTCGGAAGATTTCAAAATTTTCTCATCCTTCCCATTAATCAGCATTATCCCCTCTCTCCAGCAGTTAGGTTTTCCTTTGTTACGTCGATGAGATAATGCGACAACATTTATTGCTGATAGCTTTTTTGTGTTTCGCTTTGCTTTTATTGTTTTCTTATTATCGTTCTTTACGTTGTTGTCGCACCATCCTCCTCCCCCGTTTCCATCGAATTATATATACGAACAACTCAAAACTTTCCCCATTCCGAAAAATCGTCCAACCAAATTCCAGTTTATGGCAGATGGTATGAAACGCCATCTGGAGTATTTTGGCTCCATTCCGTATGGTGCGATAACAGAATAAAACTTTTTTTACTGTTGGTTGTTTCGATCCTCATTCGCCACGTAGAGGAGGGCAGCTCTCGAAGCGGAGTCCGACATCGCGACGTCC